GGACACAACATCTTTGTTGGTATGTGGTGCTGAGGATCGAACCCGGGTCGCACGCATACCAGGCGAGCGCGCTACCGCTTGAGCCACATCCCCAGCCCCATCATCTGACTTTTGACTTCCTTAATTTTTCTCCTAAATTTCCCTTCAGTTCATTCTTTTTAAAAAACTTTTAGTTGTAGATGAACATGACACCTTTATTTTGTTTATTTATTTTTATGTGGTGCTGGGGATTGAAGGGGATTGAACCCAGGGCCTCACACATGCTAAGTTGAGTGCTCTACCACTAAGCCACAACCCTAGAACCCCTTCAACTCATTCTTTTAGTTCCTTAGGTATGCAGTACTTTCAGGCAAGGCTGAGTCCTGCAAATAGCATTCCAGACTTCCATTTTCAAAGGCATTTTTAAAGATGGTGTTCCTTCATGACTCAGGAGTAAGTCTTCCTATTTTCATTTATTTCCTTGTGATACTAAAAAAGTTTTCTTTCACCTCTTCTAATAGGAGAGCTGTTTTCCGTGAAGAGCAAATTGATGTCTGTAATACTCACCATCAGTTGATAGTTCAGTCATTAGTTCCCGAAGTTCTTTGTCTTTGATTTTAATTCCCATATTTTCCAAAAGAGATTCCACTTTTTTGATTTTGACTCGTGGCCCTTAGGAAGAAAGAGAATGGTTGAAACAACAGCCAGTCTATACAAGTAAAACAGTGTCAAAATTTCCTACAGTAATGCAGTACTTTACTTATAATCCCCAAATTCTGTGCACCCAGAGAAGACTCATAAGTTATGAGTCGTAACAATGGAAAATAGTGCAGGAAGCAAAATTGAACATCTGAAAGAAATTTCTAAGCATAAGTTTTCTTTTTTTTTTTTTTTTAAACTTGATCTTTCACCAGTAAGGTGAAACTTGCTCACTCACCAGTAAGGGCTTTCACACCTTTTAGCAATCTATTCTTATATATCTTTCCACCACCTGTAAGATAAGACACTATTCAGAATGTAGGTTAAATGATGGGAAGACTAACAAAGACTACACAAAGACAACACAACATCTTTAATTTTGTGGGAAAACACCCAAACAACTTTCTGATTTGTTTGGAAGTTCATTCTATTTTTACCTTCGTGTGAGAATTAAACCAAAGATAAAGTAAGCGCTTTCTGTTATTAATGTACTCATTGATTAAATTAAAAAGTCTTAATTTCCTGTTTCTTGCTTTTTCCTTCCTTCTCTTACTTCCCTGATTTCCCTCTTCTTGTAAATGACTTAGATTAGGCAATGCCCCCAGGGCTACAGAACAATTTGTATTTGATGGTGGAGACTAGTGAAAGAGGTTGCCAGCTTTCAGTATTAAAATATAAATCACTTGCTGGGCATGGTAGTGCATGCCTATAGTCCCAGCGATTCAGGAGGGTTTCAAGTTTGAGGCTAGCCTTGGCAATTTAGCAAAATTCTCTCTCAAAATAAAATGTAAAAAAAAAGGACTGGGGATGTACCTCAGTGTAGATGTCTTGGGATTCAATTCCCAGTGCCAATCAATCAATCAATCAATCAATAAAATATAAGTTAAAAAAACATGAAACAAGATTTCTTCTAGTGTAAGAATTGTGTTTTCTTTTTTTTTTTTAAAGAGAGAGTGAGAGAGGAGAGAGAGAGAGAGAGAGAATTTTTAATATTTATTTTTTAGTTCTTGGCGGACACAACATCTTTGTTGGTATGTGGTGCTGAGGATCGAACCCAGGCCGCACGCATGCCAGGCGAGCGCGCTACCACTTGAGCCACATCCCCAGCCCCAAGAATTGTGTTTTCTAAATGGGTTTTACTGGACAAACACCTAACATAACTTCATAAGTTTTCACATCCAAGTTCCAAAAGCCTTTCTTCAAAGAGTGTGGTAAATACTTACTGTTAGTGGGCAGAGTTTCCAGCAGCTTCTTTCGCTCCTCATTGGTGAGTATCAGACCCATTTTCCTCAGCACTTTGCCCAGATCACTGACATCAGCCTTCTCTCCTTTAGAAAGACAGGAATTGTTAACATGGAGAATTTTTTCAATAGCCTAATGATTTCAAATTATGAAAACGATTCCTATGTGACATTCTCCTTAATTACAGGAGCAATATTTACAATGAAACTTGTCAAATTACACAGATTAAAGGACATGTGATTGTGCAGTTAGAAAGTCTATACTTTAAAGTCAAGAGAAAGAAAAGTCCATACAATTCCAGATACAAGTCAAATACCATCGTATCATCTGAATTATGGGGTCTTTTTGTGGTAACTATATATATTACAAAAACTTCACCTTGAAGTGATGTGGAAATACTATTATTCCTAACTCTACATAATATAGCTTTGTATAGGAAAAATCTAATATCAAACAATAGTTTTATGAAACAAACATTTTGCTGTTAAATTTTAGAGGAGTCAATTTAGCATGTCATAAACAGCCTGAAGAGAATATGACTGTTTTTAAAAATACTGTTCTTTCCTATAAAGCATTCAGGTCTTAGTTAATAATGAATGCCCTTTCCACCCTAACTTCTCACTTACCTGTAAAAGTTTTTGCTGCATCCATCACCACATTTAAACCAACACTTTCGTTCTCTGTAAGAAAATATAATTCAGGCAGAGGTCAAATCTTAGACTCAGAAAAGTGACATGAAAAAATGTAATTTTTAATGTAAAGGGTTACAGTTCAGCTGTTTTTCATAATTTTCTCTAGTAACTCTTTTAACTCAAAATAAACAAGAAACAGAGGGAAGAAAAAAATCAAGATGTTAATTTATTTATTTTGTTACTGGGGATTCAACCAGGGATGCTTTACCATTGAGCTACATGCCCTGTCCTTTCCATTTTTTGAGACAGGGTTTTACTAAGTTGCTGAGGGTTTTGCTGAGTTGCTGAGGCTGGCCTTCCACAAATGATCCTCCTTCCTTCCTCCTAAATCACTGGGATTACAGGCATGTACCATTGTGCACTACTCAAGATATAAATTTAAAGTGAACTTTCATTTAACTAATACCATTTTGAGATAGAGAAGTTTAACAGTAGTTCCTTTTAATAGGCTTCTTCCTCTTTTAGACTCATAAGAAGAGCATGTTTCAATAGACAAGATTGAATTTGAAATCTGAAAGTCATTTATTTATATAAGCAGCTAACCCTTAAACCTTAACAGTATGCAGTCGAACTCTTTAAATTTTGCTTATGTTCTCTATCTCTACCCCTTAAGACTTTAAGCTATTTAAGACTTGGAATCATGCCTTAATTTTCTTTATACCACTAGATAGAAATTTTTCACTTTAGTTCAGTGTTTTGCATTAGTTTAGCTAGTTTATAGCTAGTCTGTACTAGCTAAACAAATGAAAGAATGCAAGTGGTACAATAGACTGTTGGGTTAGAAAAAAATTCTCTCATTTAAGCCAAACATCACACCTGTAATCCCAGTGATTTGGGAGATTGAGGCAGGAGGATCTCAAGTTCAAGACCAGCCTCAAAAGTATAGCAAGAGTCTGTCTCAAAATATATAATAAAAGAAAGACTGGGGACATAGTGGTAGCATACAGTACTTCTTAAAAAAAAAAGAGGGAGAGAGAGAAAAGAAGAAAATATTGTCATCAAAAAAAATTCAAGGGCTCTAAAAAATACCTTCTGGCAATAATACCTTCTCCAGTAGGAAGCATTTGAGGACTCCTTAGATAATATCATAAATAAAAAATAACTTATTATGTATTTTTTATTAAGGAAAATGATCCAGATAAAATTATGGATAATTACAGTCTTGTTAAGCCCAGGAGAAATGGAGTTTTTTTAAAAAAATACTTTTAGTTGTAGATGAACACAATAGCTTTATTTTATTTATTTATTTTTTATGTGGTGTTGAGGATAGAACCCATTGCCTCACAGGTGGTAGGCCAGCACTCTGCCACTGAGATACAACCCCAGCCCTGAGAGTGAAGTTTTAACTACAAGCTGTTTTCTATGTTAGCATGAAAATGCCAGTAGGTAATAGTGGCCCTGAGTTAGGAGAGAAAAACTATTTATTCTGGATTGGCCTATATGCTGGTTCTACTGAAAAGATATGCTGTCTGTGTCTCTGATGGAAACTGGCTCTGGGTTAGAATCCAACTACTCTCTAATAAGGAAATCTTAGCTTGGGGCTAATTCCTTAATAATTTCTTCCTAATGAATTATGCTAGTTTTGCCTCTTTGACAATTTATCCAGCTAAATTGATCTAATTGAGTCATCACCGCAATTTTATCTTATTAAAAAAGGTATACATGGGAAAGAAGGAAGGAAGGGAACAAGGAGAGAAAATAGATAAAGCAAATATGTCAAAAAAGATAGCATTTGTTAACTCTGGCTATTGGGCACCTGATGCTTGTATTGCTTTTATGTATGTTTGAAATATTTCATTAGTTTTTCAAGGAGATTAGAAAATAAGTTTACTTTCAGAAGCCCACCCATGGAAGCCCTAAGATTCCTCCCAGGTACAATGGTATCTGAAATACTTAACCATCAATTGGCAGATCGTTTAGTAGGCCCTCATATTCCTCTTCCACAAGCTCGAGTTCCAAATTCCCCAGAAGTGTTTCCAGCTTACTGACGTGGACTCTTTTTCCTTAGGATATAAGAAATACAAGTAAATTCAAGAAGATGCTAGCTTTGAGAGGAGGCATCACCCTAAGTGGAGAGTAAAACATTGGCTACTTAGATGAACCCAGAAAGTCGGTGTCAGAGTTGAGAAAATGCTCCCTCAGCACTGAGCTATAACTTTGAATTGAAGTGATGATCATGGATGTGATAAAGGAAGAATTAGACAAATCTCATGAATTGTAATAAAGATAACCAACCTAAATGGAAGCAAAACTTAAAAACTACTAACGATGATTTTCTCAAATACAATTATACCCAAAGAAGAATGATTGGTTAAGACACATTTTCAGATTCAGGAAAGTAGTAGAATAGTATAATTCTAATAAGTGAGAAATAAAAAAAAGCAAGGCACAATCATTGTAACTGCTGTTTTCATGATTCTTACCTTTGAGAGGCTTCAAACCAGCCAGTAATCTTTTAATATACACTGTGCCATCTGCTGTAAAATGTAATAAAATACAAGTCAAAAGGAGGATAAGAGACTACAATTTTGTAAGATGTTTTATATGATCATTTACAAAATATTATTCTATTTTACCCTCAATAATAGAGGATAAGGACTGCTGTCAATATGGTCAGTCTAGCCCCTTGCTGAAATACATAGCAGTGGCAGATGTGTATTACAAACAGGCACACGTGGGTGTTTTTTTCTCCTGCTGTCTTCTTGTTCTCTTCTTTTGTTGCACTTTGACCCCCCTCATCTTTTCCTCTTTTCCCTGTCTCTACTGTGGGCCCATGAGGTGTGCTTATATGTTTAGCTCAAAAGGTAACCCCATTGCAGAGATGGTTTAGAAACAGTTATCAACTTGAATAGTAATAAAACAATATTTAAATAAAAATTAAAGAAATGTTTTCTTCCTCTAAACAAACTCTATAAATGGAGGTGAAATGTAATTGAAACAGAGAATAGGTGGTCATCTACCAGCCCACTCTGTCCTCTAGTGTCCTGTCTTTCCCCAGAGGTCTCCATTTTGGGGTAGGAGTGTCTGGAGTGTTGAAGGAACCCTCAGTGCCTGGCATCTCTCTCTCTCTCTCTCTCTCTCTCTCTCTCTCTCTCTCTCTCTTTCTCTCTCTCTCCCATAGTCTCCCTTACAGTCTATTTGCATCTTCTTCCTGCTTCCTCAGAACCAAAGTACTAACAAAGAAGCAATTCTTATAACTGGCTCTCTGAGAGATCAAACTGGTGCCAATGTCAGACACAATGAAGATGCCATAGTCTTAACTTATTTGAGGAGAATTTCAATGGATATGGAACATTTGCTATCCAGTTGGCTACTTCTGCCTTCAGGGTCACTAGCCCCCTTGGCAATGTGCAGGCTTGCTCTTACCTGGGGGACAACTGGGGACAGAAACTATGGGGCTAGGTAAGGATGTCTGTATGGAGGTTCCTGAGATCAAGCAGGAGGTACAGGTGAGTACTGGCTGGCCTCTAGGGTTTATGGGTGAGCCTAGGCAAGTGTCCAGGAGGAAGAACTTTTGAGGGACTGATGGGTTGTGTCAGTGACCAATCAGAATAGATAATGACAGGCCCATAAGCCTGGAGGCCCTCTGACCTCAGGTGTTTACTTTTTAAAAAAAATTTTTTTAATATAGTTGGATTTGGGGGAGGTAGAAAATTTTGCATGGGAGAGATTGAAGGTGCAGGGTACATAATGGGGGATATTTAAGCTGTGTCACTATGAAAATATTTAGAAGGGGCTACTGGTTGAATGCAAAAGAGAGAAGTTTCTCACTTCTAAATTAAAATAAAAATAACAAGAACAGCATTTCTAATGCCAATACTACATTATTTTCCTTAGGGTATTCCTCAGAGTTCTCACCGGAAGCCCACAATATCACATTTCCCTGAACATCAGGGTGGTATGCTAAATACTCACTAGAGATGGGCAGAGTTTTTAACAGTTTCAACTGTTCTTTTTCAGTGATCCAGATTCCCATGCTTCCCAGCACATTTTTTAGGTCACTAGTTTCAACCTTTTTTCCTTTGAAGAGATGGGAATTGTTTCAGATGAGCATATTAAGGGATTTAGTTATTCCAAATTATGAATAATATAATGAAATACAGCATTATTTTTAGCTTCAGAATTGAGTTTAATACATGAGCCAACTTCATTTACATAGAGATATTTTGAAATTCAGTATGTGAAAGGATTCTTTTAATTCAAATAAGATTATACTTCAGTGTATGGCATACAGTATGTGGCATTTTGTTAGAGTAGTAGGAATGAACTAAGACAGATGGCATAAAGAATTTACATGATTCAGGGGTTAGAGTTGTAGCTCAGGGGTACAGCAGTTGCCTAGCATGTGTGAGGCACTGGGCTTGATACTCAGCACCACATAAAATAAAATAAATAAAACAAAGGTATAAAAAAAGAATTTACATAATCTACCTTAGAGTAACAACTCTGTTATTACTTCATGGCCTGAATTATAGGAATAATTATTCATAATAACCATATATCCTGATGTAAAAACTTCACATTGAAATTTACTGTGTTCATCTATATTTTGGTTCTTTGAACACCAGTGAAAAAAACACTACTGAATCAAATATTGAACAAGTTAGTACTTCTCTTTGAGAGTGTCCATACTTATCCTAAATTTTTAATAATCTGAATTGTTGCTAGTAAGACAAAATTATCAATGAATAAACAAAAGAGCTGAATGAATTTGTAACACTATTGCTGGAGGGAGTTACCTACTGCTATAAAAAGGCAACTCTGTTTTTTTTTTTTTTTTTTTTTTGTACTAGAGATTGAACTCAGGAGCGCTTGACCACTGAGCCGCATTCCCAGCCCTATGTTTTGTATTGTTTATTTAGAGACAGGGCCTTAATGAGTTGTTTAGTACCTCTCTTTCACTGAGGTTGGCTTTGAACTTGTGATCCTCCTGTCTCAGCCTCCTGAGCCACTGGGATTACAGATGTACACCACCATGCCATGCCTGGCAAAAGGCAATTCTCTACAAAGACTTACATCTCAATTTTGTAATATCTTTTATAAATTTTTACTTACCCATAAAATGTTTTGCTGCATCCATCAACACATCTAACTCAACCTTTTCATCTTCTGTAAGAAAATTCAGAACTTGGATTCAGAGATGAAGATCGTGAGATACAAAATTCTTAAATTAAAATATGGTATATTGAATTACAGAAATTTTTATGCTTCACCTTAGAATTTTTATTATTATTATTAATTCACAGGAACATGTAGAAAAGAAGATTTAAGCTTTAAGAATATATCCATTCGACTAATATAGCTTCTTTTTTCTTCTATAAGTTATTAGCTGTTAAACGTCTTTAGAGCATTATGGTGTGTGAGGTTTTGCCTGTTTGAAGTTAGCTCCATTCCATAGTCAATCCTCCTCTTTTCAGACCTGATTCTTTTGCACCATGTAGAAGGTTTAGGCGTGTCAGAGTAGTGGTTCTCAAAGTGTGGTCCATGGACCTCTGAAACCACTCAGTACCCTTTGCCTTTTTCAAAGTGTTGGCATTTGCACTGATGGTGCAAAAGCAAAGGTGAGTAGAACTGCTGGCATCTTTGCATGAATCAAGGCGGTGACAATCACGGTGACTGTACTGGCAGTCACTGTGTTCTTCATTGTATATAATTGTAAATACTTATAAAATAATGTCAGTCACTTAAGAACATCCTTGATAAAGCAGTTGTTCCATGGCTCAGGATATAAGCAGTGGGAGTATTGCTTCTCAGCAAAGTGAGTGAAAGAGGAATTTCATTAAAATTCAATATTGGACAGTGTTTTAGAGACTCAGAAATTTGGGTGCATTAAACAAAGAACAAAAAAAGAGTACATTGGATCCATCTGGGAGTGGCAGTGGCAGCAAGGGTTTACCACAGACGGGAGGGATAGCCCAGAGAGAAACACAAGGGTCAGATTTGGCAGGGCAAACCTTGTAGATAAGAAAAGCAGCCTGGGGTTGTGGCTCTGTGGTAGAGTATTTGCCCTGCACACATGAGGCACTGTGTTCCATCCTCAGCATCACATAAAATAAATAAATTAGTAAAACAAAGATATTGTGTCCATGTTAAATTAAAAAAAAAAAGAAAGAAAAAAAGAAAGAAAGAAAAGCACCTTGAATGAGCTGATCCAGAGGGTGTTCAGTGAAGTGGTGTTTGGAAAATGTTCTGTTTCTCAACTGGCAAGTGGAGAGTTGAGGCAAAATCCATCTTCGGGGAGCCACGCTGCAGCTTGCTGCTGCAGGAGCCCAGGAGATTGAAGCAAACATAGCCATACTTCCCTAGCAAGTGCCTAATATGTGGCCTCAGGTGTACCTAGAAGAACCTGAGAATATACCCAGGGGATTCAAGTCAGGAAACAAAAGGGAGCCAACTTGCTTTTCCTTTGACTAACTGAAGAATGCTGGGAAACTGAACCAGGAGGTGTGAATACACTCAGGGACTAAGCCAGAAAGGCTGTATTCATGAGTAGCAGAGTGGGTGGATGCTTGGCCCTCCTGCCCTGTGAGTAGAATTCTTGGAAGACTCATGAGATTCAGACTACCAGCAGAGATCAGCATTTGCTTGGCATTAGGAATATGTTGATCTAATCTCTCCAGAGCAAATACCACCCAACAAAATTGTTAAACAGGCCTGATTAGAACTAAGCCCCAACTGCCAGAACTCCCCTCATAGAACTCTGCAGCAGCCCTACCTTGGGAGTGCCTTGATCTGGTCTATGAAACTCCAATCTGCAGTACTTCTCATTCCATCTTTATACTATTAAGAAGGAAAGCTAAGATCTAGTTCAACTAGCTGCAGTTTTAGGATACACCAACTGGCAGCTTGGTGGGCAACACAAGAAACAGGAAGAGGTTAACAACTCCCAGCCCTTTCTTTCTTTCTTTCTTTCTTTTTTTTTTAGTTGAACATGGACACAATATCTTTGTTTTACTAATTTATTTATTTTATGTGATGCTGAGGATGAAACACAGTGCCTCACGTGTGCAGGGCAAGCGCTCTGCCACAGAGCCACACACACATGCTCTCTCTCTCTCCTTCTCTCAGTATATAGTCCAAGAAAAAATAGAAAGAAGGAAAGTTGGGCATATGCAGTGATCATCCATTCTTGTTGACTATTTTGATCACCTCAGTGAAAATGATTCTTTCATTTTTCACTAAGGATCTTTTTTCCTTTTTTTTTTGTGTGTGATGTGTTCTTGCTGTGCTGATTAGTCCATGGACATATATAGAATATACATATTTCTTTTTTTCTCATTTTTTAAACAATAGTTATTTTTCCTTGCCTTATATTTTGAGGGCTAGGCTTTTGGTTTGTTTTGATTTTGTTTGTTTCTCTTTCTCTTCTTTCTTCTTCCACTTCACCTTCTCTTTCCCTTTACTTTGCTTTTCCTATTATTTCTCCTTCTTTATCATCATCACTTGCTCCATTTCTTTTGAATCTGTTCATATTTTGAACATTCCCCTCTCTACCTTCCTATCACATTTTCTTTTCTCTTAATGAATTGAATTTTTACCATATTTTGGTAATATTTGGTTTTTAATAAATCCTGCCCCCACATTTATATTGTAACAATTATTAGTGCTATGGATGATGTAGCTGACACCTGCTGTTTATTTTAATGCCAGTTCTAGTTCATAGTTATGTATTATTTTTAATGTTGGCAGTTGCTGACTCCATCATTCCTGTTTTTGTGGTGGTGTTGTAGATGTCATAGTAGGCACCAGGTATTTATTTTAATGCAGCATTTGGTTTGCATTGGTTGTTGCTGTTGTGTATTTTCCTTTTTTTCTATGAGGTGCTGGGAAGTTATGTGGACATTACAAGTTCACAAGGGAGAGACTGCTTCTGAACAAAAGACAATGTACTTTTTTGCTCCACACACAAATTAATGATGCTCAAACTTCAGCTATTGCTTTAATACAAAGAAGAGATAAAGACACTAAAGATCAGGTCCCTAATAGGAATAGCTAAGGGTGGGACCTTAGGTCCCACTCATGGACATAACTCCTATAGCAAAACATGAAATTAACACAAAGTCTGTGGATATCACACCTATGAGGGGGTCTTGATCTATATCACTCTAGGATACTTTGGCAAGAAAAGGCAGTGCCCTAAAAAGGCCTACACAGATGCATAAAAATTAACACAGGAATACAGTAAATATGAAAAAAAACACAAGGTAAAATTCAGAATTCACCAGCAACTGACTACAAAGGTACTGAAGAGGATAAAATATCAAATAATGAATTCAAAAGAATGATTATAATCTCAGAACTGGACGACAATGTAATCAGCCTTGAACATTCAGACAGTATTAAAGTGAATAAAATAAATAATCATGATCAGGATATACAACGACTCTGGAACAACATTAAGAGACCAAATTTAAGAATCATTGGAATTGAAAAGAGTTGTGAGATGCAGACTACTGGAATGGATAACCACTTCAGGGAAATAATAACAGAAAATCTTCTAAGCCTTGAGAATGAGCTGGACATCAGATACAGGAAGTGTTTAGAACCCCAAATAGACAAGAACAAAAAAGAACCTCTTCACCACATATCAAAATTAAAATGCCTAACATACAAAACAAAAATAGAATTTTAAAAGCCTCAAGAGAAAAATGTTTGGTCACATTTAGAGGCAAACCAATCAGAATTATTTTCAATTTCATAGCACTAACTTTAAAAGCCAGAGGGCTTGGAATGATGTGTTCTAAGTCCTGAAAGAAAATACCTGTCCACCAATATTGCTATATCCATCAAAGCTATCCTTCAAAATCTAAGAAGAAATGAAAACATTTCAAGGTAAGCAGAAACTAAACAAATTTATGACTACCAAGCTGGCACTATAAAAAAATACTTAAAGAAATACTCCACACAGAAGAAATAAAAGCAAACCCCAGAGATCACAAATGAACAAATCTCATTTGAAAAGTAGCTAAACATATGAAAAACAGGACCAAATTAAACATCAGAAATAAATCAAAATCGTAGCAATTAATATGCATCTCTTTATAGCATCTCTTTTTTTTTAACATTGTATGTTAATGATCTAGTCTCTCCAATTAAAAGACATAGCTGGAAGAATGGATTAAAAAATAAGACTCAAGGGGCTGGGGCTGGGGCTCAGTGGTAGAGTGCTCGCACAGCATGCACGAGGCACTGGGTTCAATCCTCAGCAACACATCAATGTAAAATAAAGATATTGTGTCCATCTAAAACTAAAAAAATAAATATTTTAAAAAAACAAGACTCAAAACTATATGTTATTTACAAGAGACACATCTTATAGGCAAGGACAGCCACAGGATGAAAATGAAATAATAGAAAATTATGTATCATGCAAATGGAGCCCTCAAAACAAGGAGTAATTACTCTAATACCCAACCAAGCAGACTTCAAGTCAAAATTAATCCAAAGAGACAAAGAGGGTCACTTCATACTGGTAAAGGGAACAATCCAACAAGAAGATGTAATGATAGTAAATATTTATGCCCTAAATGTGAGTGCAACTAATTACATAAAAGAGACATTGTTAAAATTAAAGCCTCAGATAGGCACCAGTACAATAATACTGGGTGATTTCAACACACTTCTCTCACCAATAGATATCTCATTCAGACATAAACTCAGTAAAGATTCTTTAAGTCTAAAAATACTATAAATCAAATAGAATTAATGACATCTATTGAACATTTCATCCAACAAGAGCCAAATACACTTCTCAGTGGCTCATGGAAACTTCTTCAAAATAGATTATATTCTAGTTCACAAAGAAATTCTTAACAAATACAAAAATTGTTATAATTTCTTGTATCTTATCAAATAATAATGAAATTAAATTAGAAAAGTCAATACCAAAAAACCCTTCAGAAACTACATAATCATATGGAGATTGAGCAATACACTTTCAAATGATGAATGGCTAATAGAAGAAATTTGGGGAAAAATTTAAAAATTCTTAGAATCAAACAAGAATAGTGATAGAACACACCAGAATCTCTAGACACTATGAAGGCAGTTCTAGAGGAAAGTTTATAGATGAGTATCTATATAAGAAAATCAGAATTTTTCCAAATAAACAATCTTGAGTAATGCATCTTAAGGCCCTTGAAAAAGAAGAAAAAAACAATTTTAAAACCAGTAGAAAGAAGGAAATAATTAAGATCAGAGCTAAAATCAATGAAACCAAGAATGAAAAAAATCAAGGAATCAATGCAATAAGACTTGGTTCTTTGACAAGATAAACAAGATTGATAAGGCTTTAACCAACTACTCAAAAGAAAGAGAAGAGCCAAATTAATAAAATTAGAGATAAAAGGAGAAATCACCACAGACATGACAGAAATCCAGTGCATCATTTGGGACTCTTTTGAAAATGTATATTCTAAGGCATTGGAAAACCTAGGAGAAATGGAAACATTTGTACAACCACACAACCTGCCAAAATTGAATCAAGAGGACACAGAAAACCTAAACAGACTAATAAATTGTAATGAGACAAAAGCAGTAATAATAAGCCTTCCAACAAAGAAAGATCTAGGACCAGATGGATTTGCAGCTGAATTCTATCAATGAACCAAGGCTCCTTAAATTAGTCTATAAAAGAGAAAAGGATGGAACACCTCCAAATTCATTCTATGAAGCCTGTATCACACTCTACCAAAACCAGATAAGGACACAGCAAGGAAAACAAACTACCGCCCAATATCCCTGATGAATTTAGATGTAAAAATTCTTAATAAAATATTGGAAAATCATATTTAACAACACATTAATTAAGATTGTACATCATGACTAAGTTGGAATTATCCCAGAGATGCAAGGGTAATTCAACATATGCAAATAAATATCTGCAAATTCATCACATAAATAGAATTAAGGTAAAAAATCAACTAGTCATCTCAACAGATGCAGAAAAGCCTTCAACAAAATTCAGCATTCACTCATGAAAAAAAAACCACCCAAGAAAGTAGGTATATAAGGAGCCTACTTCAATATCATAAAGACATCTATGAAAAACCCCAAATCCACATCATAGTGAATGGCGAAAAACTAAAAACATTTTCTCTAAAATCTGGAATAAGACAAGGATGTTCGCTCTCACCACTCCTACTTAATGTAGTACTAGCCAGAGCAATTAGGCAAGAGAAGGAAATAAAAAGGATAAAAATAGGAAGAGGTCAAAGTATCACTGTTTTAAGATGACATGAGCTTACACTTAGAAGAACCAAAAAGCTTCATCAGAAGATTGCTAGAGCTAATAAACAAATTCAACAAAGTAGCAGGTTACAAAACAAACACCCCCAAATCAATAGCTTTCCTATATACTAATAATGAATCTGCTGAGAAAGAAATCAGGAAAAAAAATTCCATTCATGATAGCCTCAAAAAACAAAACAAAACAAAACAAAACAAACTAGGAATAAATCTAACCAAGGAGGTAACATACCTCTATGATGAAAACTATAGAACACTGAAGAAGGAAACTGAAGAAGACACAAGAAGTTGGAAAGCCCCCTACTCCCATGTTCACGAACAGTCAGAGTTAATATTGTTAAAATGGCCATACTACCAAAAGCAATGTACACACTCAATGCAATTTCCATCAAAATGCCAATGACATTCTTCACAGAACTAGAAAAAATAGTGCTAAAATTCATTTGGAGAAATGAAAGACCCAGAATAGGCAAAGCAATTCTGAACCAAAAAAAGCATTGCTGGAGGGATCACAATACCTGTCTTCTAATTATACAACAGAACTATAGTAAGAAAAAATGCATGGTACTGGCATAAAAGCAGACACAAATACCAGTGATACAGAATAGAATACAGAGATAAACAGAGAGTCATTTGAATTTTGACAAAAGTGCCTAAAACATATGTGGGAGAAAGACAGCCTTTTAAACAAATAGTGCTGGGAAAAATGTTTATCCATATGTAGAAGAATGAAACTAGACCCTTTTCTCTTTCTCTATACAAAGGTGAACTCAAAATGGATTAAAGGCCTAGGGACTAGACCAGAAACTATGCAACTCTTAGAAGAAAATATAGGGTCAACACTCTAGCATATAGCAAGCATCTCTCCCACTCCGTTCACACCCTTAGATGCATGACTTCCACTACTGTAGTAGCTGCTGTTCATTGTTCCTTGGCTGCCTATCCAATGTTTGGTTGAAAATCACTGGAGTTTTCCTGTAAAACTTGGTCGTATCCAGCTCTGTCTGCCATAGCTGTCCCCATAACCACCACTCAGCTGCTGGCTAGCTGGGTCACCATAACTGGACTGGTTTGAAAAGTCCATTCCTCCCATCATTTGGCTACCATAAGCACCACTGCTTGCTCCTGCTGTAGAATTCAAGAAGAGTTATACATATCTATGTTGCAAATTTGCTTTGTCTTTTGACATAGTTGCCATAGCATCTTCATGAGTAGCAAACTCGACATCTGTTTCACCATTACTCTGCCATGGGGACCAATCTCAGTGTGTACTCTCATAGGGTTGAGTGGTGAAAAAAAATTATAAATGTCATTCTCAGTAGCTCTGAAAGATAATCTCTACAGGTGTACACAGTGTCCTGTTGTGCTCTGGAAGGTAGAGCCACCAACCCAAAATCTGTGATCAGACATTCTCTGACCTAAATCCATAGCCATTATTATAGCTGTTATGGTCATTGTATCCTCTGTAGCCTCTACCAAAAGCACCACACCTCATCCTCTCAAAGCCATGCTCCTCTGCCAATGCTATTATATCTTCTGCCAGTCCCAGGTCTGTCACAGAGACTTGGCAGCTGCGTGGCCGTAAGCTTTCGTGGCAGATCATAATAAATTCTAACTTCAACTTGTATATTTAAGAAATATTTTGACATACCTGTGCCCTATTGTTTCCTTGTGTTTCTTTAGAGACTTTTCTGCTATTTTCTATGAAGCAAACTGCATGAAGGGCTCCTCTATACTCCTCCCTGGAAGTCCTCCAGCAATGTTATCCCATTTTGCACGATTTCCAATCCTGAGAACTGGACAATGTCTTCCTTGCTACAGCCAAAGGGGAGTCCTCTAAGCCATTCAAAGCCATCAATGGCCATGTCAGGACTACTTAAGTAGCAAACTTCAACACCCAATTCATTTCAATGTTGTTTGACTTGAATACTTCAACATATTGGTGTTCCATAGTTTCTCTGTCTTTTTTCAGGGCCAATTCGACTTCATCTTCTGAATCAAGTTCAACAAAAGCCTTGCCATTCAGTCCGCCTTCTCTGGTGTAGGTGAAATGAATACTTTGAACCCCATTTTGAGTTTTGCAGTCAGAAAATAAACATTGCACTTCATCAGCTGAACAAACCAGGGCAAGTCCCAGACCTTCACCATGAATCCTTTTCTGACTTCGGAGCCCCACATTGTGTCTCTTCGAGGAACCTGGCATCAAAATAGATTATAAACACAACTTTGGCGTGGCTAAGAAGAATATCTTGACATCTTCTTTAATTCCAACAAAAAACAGCTTTTTTTACAGTCACATAAGCCCTTGGTTATCCAACTCCTTCTGTTATGCCTCATTTTGGCTCAACTCTCCCATCAATTGAACGGGCTCTTGCAGTCACGGTAGCATCAACCTCAGTCACAGATGAGAAAATTACAAAACTGGATCCTCTTGATCTTTTGCTTGCAGCATTCCTCAAAACCACACAGTCTCTAAGTGTCCCCATTGCTCACAGTACTTTGTTAAACTTTTTTCTGTGGTTTCAAAGTTTAAGCCACCAACTAAGAGTTTACGGAACTGTTCCTTTCTTTCTCTATTAGATGCAGTCACTTCAGCTGGATTTCCCACAGCCCAGTGAGAAGAGAGAGATCTCTACAAAAGAACATGAACTGGACTGGTCTTGGTGTTGTAGTGACTTCTGCCGCTGCTTGAGAAACAGCACTAAGAGCACCTCCACAGGGGACCCGGCATTGCTGTTACTTAGATAGCTTTATCTTAAAGATCAATAACTTTAATAATTAGGCTATGCATTTTTAATTGTCTGATACTGAATGTACTACAAAGTACCTTAATTCAACTGACATATTCTAGACATTTTCTCTTCATTTTGCTCTCTCTGCTGTCCTTTCTCTCCCATTTTTTATGAGTTTTTGATAATCATGTAACTTACCACGACAGATCAGTCTTCTCCATAGATCACCAGTGAGGTTCCTTGTCAAGAGCCCCTTAAATGGCGCCTCTGCCTCCAGTTTTTCCCTCCCCAACATTTCTTTCCTCATTGTTTTAAGAGTAAACTATTCATTGTTTTAAGAGTAAACTATTCATTGCTCACCAGTAACTGGTATGTGAGCTTGCAGGTCCTTAATTTCTTTGGGTTCAAGAGAAAACCCCGTGTTTTGTAGAACATTTCTTAGGTCACAGACACCAACCTTCCCTCCTTAATTAAAAAAAAAAAAAGAAAGAAAAAGTAGATAAGGATGAGATACAATGACAAATGCAGGATCAATCCCTAACTAGAAACGAAAGTGAAAAGAAACTTTAAGTCATATGGGAGTCAGGAATATACTTTCATAATTAAATTTCTGAGAGTTTATATTGAGGGAAAAAAAGCAGAGTTTGGCTACTCTGATGAGTTAGGCAAAGATGAAAATCAAATCATGTTTGCTGGTCCCAAAAATAAGATTTGAAACTTGCTATAGTAACAAAAAACTACTTCCCATGTGTTATTGTACATAAAGGAGAACTCTGATTAATGAGGAAGAATTACTGAAAACCATTGGTGGTCTTTATTAAATCGGTCTTAAATATGAAGGTTTGCAGAATTTATGTATATGATTTCTCCTTGTTTAACTCATCTGAAGTACATCTATATCTATCATAGAAAAATGTTTATATTCTATATCATAGAAGAAATGATTGATAAAATTAAATATATAAAATGAAAAAAATTAAATATATAAAATGAAAAAATATCCATATATCAGAATACGATAAAATGGACAGAAAACAGTTTGTAGTTGCTTGGGCCTGGGAGGATAGGGGTTATGGATTATAACTGCTAATGGATACAGAGTTTCTAAATGAAATTCTAAAATTGGGGTGATGAAATTCTAAAATTGATTTTGCTAAGAGTTGTACAACTCTGTACTAAAATTCTTTGGTTTATACACTTTATTTATGTTTTGATGCAGGGGATTGAATCCAGTGTCTCATACATAAGAGGCAAACACTCTACCATTGAGCTACACCCCAGCCCTTGAAAATTGCTTTGAACATTATTGTCTTTATTCTTTGTCTCACTTACCTCTGAAAGATTTCACACCTTCCATTAATTCTTTCTCAAAAATCTTTTTATTAGCTGTAGGATAAAACACAATTATGTTTTTGGAGAATTATAAAAATCAATGTTCATACTTAAAGGAAGGGAAAATTTAGAAATTTACCACAATTAGTTATTACTGAAATGAAAGATGTATAGAGAACTCACTGCAATGAACCTTCTGATGCTAACATCCGATTTTAGAGTTTTAAGGTACAATGACAGTCTACAAATCTAGATTCAGCCAAATTATGATTCAAGGAGGACAAAATACAAAACGACTGTTACTGGCATCCTAGGAAGGGTGAATAGTGCATAGCTTTTTCTTTCCTGTTTTCTCCTATTTTGGCTTAATTTTTTTCTTTCTTCAGCTTTCCTACACTTCTGTCCTACCATCTCATTTCTTCTAAAGAACTTGTTTCTCCTGTGATAGGACTTTTGACTGGCGAGGTCCCTGTTTCCTAAGCCAAAATGTAAATGAGAAGAACAGGAGTTTTTAGAAATGCTAGCTAAAATTGGGTCTCCCTACCCAAGCCACACTGGGGATAGAACCCAGGGCTTCATGCTTGCTAGGAGAGGGCTCTACCACCGAGCTACATCCCCATCCCAGACTGTGTCTTTTAAAAAATATTTTAATTTGGCATAACATGTTTCAAATGTTACGATTACTAGTACAAATCCTTAAAACCAGTTTTCCCAGGAACTTAGAGAAATGGACATGGTCCCTGCTCTTCCAAAATTGAGGATAGTACCACACTTGTAACTGATCTTCAAAAATGTTTGTTGAATGAAAATAAATTTTTAGACACTAGTGAAGTAGAACACACTATCATACTTACCATACATGGGCAGAGTTTTCAGCAGCTTTTTGTATTCATTATTTGTGATTTCTATTCCCATTTTTTTCAGAACATTTTTCAGGTCCCCAGTATGAATCTTCTTTCCTTTAGAAAAAGAGAAACAGTCTTAGGTGAGAATATAGAATTATATAACATTTTAATATTGTCTATAACACATACATACATATACAATCCTATATATATGAAATTCATCATTCTCAGCTGTAGGGGGAAGAACAAGGTGCAATGAAGACTTGCTTAGCTTTTTTTAGAGTCAAGGAGGGGAGTCAGAAATTTTTCTTTCAACCTAAGTAATAGGGAATCTCATAACTATAAAAAAATAACATATAATAAGCAAAATAGGGATTATAAAATTTCTCAGTAATTTTGATGCTGTTTTATGGCTAATATAAATAATTCAACTTACTATTATAATAGATTTCTTCTTTTTATTCTTTCTTTTCCTTCTCTTCTGGTCTTCTCTAACCCCTCCCCTTCCTCCTCTATAGCCTGAATTACAGCATGTTTTAAAAATAACAGTGAAAGCTGATATGTTTCAACTTGAGTGAATTTATATTATATAGTCACACTGTAAACTTTGAGAGGGCAGGAAGCATATCTTTCAAAATTCAGCTGTAAACCATATTTCTGCTGTGTCAGCAGGCCCCTTTAAATTCTGACAATAGAGGGTGCTAGAGAGTGTGAGCTTGAAAGGCGGGAGGGTAAAGTTTCTTTCGGAAGCTATGGCTGAAGCCTGTTTTCAGTTTTACCCTGTGGAATCAGCTTCACTGTACTTTCCTTCTGATGCTAACATCGATTTTAGAGTTTTAAGGTACAATGACAGTCTACAAATCTAGATTCAGCCAAATTATGATTCAAGGAGGCATATAAAATAAAAAAAATTTAAGACAAGGACCCCTTGTTGAAATAACTGAGGAGGCACTGAACCTAAAACTAAACCCCAAGGAAAGTAGAAAGTTAGAAGCAGTAGTGAGCAAAGAAGATTGGTAATTGTGTTGAAATTTTGCAGAAGATTGGATTTAAATGGCTCTATTCTTGTTTTCGATATATGACAAAACCCGATCTCAGGTTAAATGTAAATCTCTTCCCCTTTCCCAGTGCTAGCTGAAATAGAACCAAAGTAAACTCTGCTGATGGTCCTCTCTTTAAATTACAGTAATGAACTTCACATGAATCCTTATTATTATTTTTTTTTAAAGAGAGAGGAGAGGGAGAGAGAGAGAGAATTTTTTTTTAATATTTATTTTTTAGTTTTCGGCGGACACAGCATCTTTGTATGTGGTGCTGAGGATCAAACCCTGGCCGCACGCATGCCAGGCAAGCGCGTTACTGCTGGAGCCACATCCCCAGCCCTAAATGAAACCTTATTGCAACTGGGCAACCACATTATACTTTGCTAGTCTATTAACTTCCCCACTCTTAATGACTACTTACCATCTTTTTTTCCTCTTTTCAAATCATGACTTCTTCTACTTGACTACCACTTTTATTTCTTTTTTTTTTTTTTTTTTTTTTTGTGGTGCTGGGGATTGAACCCAGGGCTTTATGCATGCGAGACAAGCTCTCTACCATCTGAGCTATGTCTCCAGCTCCCATTTTATTTCTTTAATTAAAAGAAAGTTTTTTTTTTTTTTGTACTGGGGATTGAACCCATGGTCTTGGACATGCTATGCAAATGCTCTATCACTGAACTCTATCCCCAGCCTTTTTTTGTTTTATTGAAACAGGGTTTTACTAAGTTGCTGAAACTGAAACTTTCAATCCTCTTACCTCAGCCTCCCTAGTCACTGGGATTACAGTTGAGTGCCACTGCAACCAGCAAGAGCCCCTCTCTTGATAACACTTTGACCACCTCATTCCACTATGTGCCTTCTTTTGCAGAAAAATTCTTCAGATATTCACACTGTTTCTAAATCTTATCCTCCCACGTGTTCAAATTTATTCCAGTCAAACTTCTTTACATCATATCACTCTCAAGCAAACTACCTGCATATGTATCCTTGTTTCAGAGTTTGTTTTCTGGGTTCACACAATCTAATTTAATATTCTTTATTTTGCTTCCAGGATACCACATTCTCTTCATTTCCTTTTTCTTTTGATACATGGGATGGAACCCAGGGGCACTTAACTATTGAGCCACAGGCACAGCCACATTCTCAACCCTGCCCCCCACGCCCCCACACTTTTTTTTTTTTTTTTTTTTTTGAGACAGGGTCTTGCTAAGTTCATTAGGCCTTGCCAAGTTGCTGAGGCAGGCTTTGAACTTGTGATCCTCCTGCCTCAGCCTCCTGAGTCACTGGGTATATAGCCTGTGCCATTGTGCTTGGCTCAGCACCCCTACCCCTTTTTTACATTTTATTTTGAGACAGGTTCTCACTAAGTTGCTGAGGGCCTTGCTAAGTTGCAGAGGCTGGCTTCAAACTTGTGATTCTCCTCTTTCAGCCTCTCAGGTTGTTGAGATTACAGGCATGTACCATTGTGCCCAGCTCTCTTGGTTATCTTACTGTATCACCAGCTACTCCTTATCTCCTTTGCTTTGAATCTCTTCATTTTGAAGTGCTCCAGGATCCATTTGTTATCTCTCTTCTCTTCACCACTTATACTTCCTTGGGTGAATTTATTTCATCTCATGATTTTAAATACCATTTATATACCTGTGGCTTTAAATTTCATATTTATACCCTATATATCTTAAATGTGAGTTAGTCTAGAAACTTTATACTTGAAATCTGAATTTGGAAGTCTATCAGACCTCAAAATGGCCCAATCAGAACTCCTAATTTTCTTCCAACCCAAATTTGTACAACTGCTTAGATTAAATAAGTTATTATATGCTAACTTTTTTTTGTGTCAGTTAACGTAAGTCTAATGTTACCATTTTGTTCTAGACAAAACAAACACAAAAACAAAAAACAATAAAAAAAATCTTAGAGCTGGGGGCAATGGTGCATACCTGTAATCCTAGTGACTCAGGAGGCTGAGGCAGAAGGATCACAAGTTCAAAGCCAGCCTCTAAAACTTAGTGAGGGCCTAAGCAACTTAGCAAGACCCTGTTTCAAAATAAAAATGAACAAAAAAAGGGCTGGGAATATGGCTCAGTGATTAAGCACCTATGGGTTCAATTCCCTGTACCCCTGGCTCCCCAAAATCTTGGAATCATTCTTGACTTTTTCCTTTATCTAGTACTTTCATCTAATTCATCAGAAAAAAATCTAAAAATACTACTTTTAATCATCTCCATTGCTTTCTACCTTGATTTGTGTCACCATCTTCTTCATCATTGGCTATACTAAAAACTCTGGATGGTTCTCTGTTTCTACTGTAGGCCTGATTTCCTGTTTAGAAACACAGTGGCCCTATCTTCCTAGCAAGTCCTGCTTGCCCAGTCTCCTTTATGCTATTCTACTTTTTATAGCACTGGCTGCTATATATATATACTGTGTGTGTAAAATGTTTGTTGTTTAGTGCTTGTTTTCCCTGCCAGAGTGTAAACTTCATGGAGGCAGTGATCTTTGTTCTGTTTACTGATGTATCTTAATGCCTAGAATAATGCCTAGCATGTAGTAAATACTCAATAACAAGTTGTTAAATAAATAAATGGAGGAAATGCTTTTGTGTTAAGATATATTTCAATATGAAACTTAAGGATCACACAATATCATACTCACTGAAACACCCCACTCACCTGTAATCTTTTTAACTTCATTCATCAACACATTCAAATCAGTCTTCCCTTTATCTTTAAGATAAAAAGCATCATTATAGGTTTGTAAAACTATAATATAATATGTTTAAATTGTGAAACAGAAACCCGAAATTCAATCATTCAAAAACTCTTCCCTAAAAGTTTGTTATATTTTCATATGAGCTCCTCATCAACTTAATTAATGCAGCTACTGCTATCTACCCCGTAAGCTCAAAGTTCACACGGCACAATGCAAGAGCAAAGCTGAAAGCACTTTTCTTTCCTTCAGGACAAGTTATTCTCTACTAAGTTAGTCTTTTCAGAGCTTGAGACTTTTTCAGAATTTATAATTTTTGTGTAAAAACAGCATTTCCAATTGTAAATGCTAATTGCCTCTTTTAGGCTTTTAATCACATTGGCACCAAGAGATCTGCTATGATATGATATGATATGATATGATATAATGTGATATGATATGATATGATAGTCTGGCTATTGTTAGGTTGTGAACATGATAATAATCATGTTCATATATTCAGTTAAAGTTTACTTATGATGACAAAACTTTGTTTTTCAGTGACCATTCTCAATTGAAAAATATCTTCACAGATGAGGTGCTTAATTTCTTTACTCTGTATTTCTCAAATTAAAATCTGAAGCCACTGAAGGTCAGTGGTACATTTAAAACAGTCTGTAAAATTGCAAGTTGGAGAAACAGTAGTTTGGGATGTTGAGATAGTAGTTAAAATATACTAACATTCTAACAGGTTAGACGTTAAAACTGCCAATGTACATCCTCCTTTCTCATTCATTGTGACTTGATTAAAGATGCCAATACATCACTGCTCAAACACATTTATACTGTTATATTATTTATAATTTTCCTAAGATGGTAATTTCCTCTGAGAGTAAGATACCAAGAATCACCCTGAGATATCAAGACTCCTACTATTACCTAGACATTAGTTTAATGTCGCACAAGATTGATGCTATATAAATGTTTATTAAATAAAAGTAATAGCAAAATGCAAACATTGTAGAGAATGAATTAGCTTTAAAGTCAACATGTATTCCAGGTTCTTAGATGCAAAATTTATCCTTGCTTGTTCTTTTTTATGCTTTTACCTTTTTTGGTATTCTTTTATAGTTTCATATTCTATTATTATTAATATAATTTTCAAGTAGGATAAAGAAGAATCCTTTTTGATAAAATTCTGTGCCTGTAAAGAACAAATGCCATCACATCCTTAATTTTGTGTGTCTTCAGTTATTTCTACCAAGTCCTTTTGGACATCTATTCTATCCCAGGTGATCACACAGATGTACAAGGTATGCCACTAAACTTATACTAATAGTTTCACACTTTAAATCACTGTCCTGGTGAGGTTCCAGTACACCAGGAAATGAGGAAAACCACAAAAATATACAGGACATTAATTGTATTGGTAGATTAGAAGAGCCATGTAAAGAATCTAAAGAAATTTAATAAAGTCATTTTTTTGAAAAACTGTTTACCTCATATGAAGGCAAAAGTCAGTGCCTGATACATGATAAGCACTAAAGTTAATGTAATGAAAAGTAGTATTGATTTAGAAATGCACATGTTAGTTGACTTGGATTAATCTTATATTTTTACCATTTTATTTAGTAACAAAGTGTTACCCCAAATTTTCTGATGAATTTTTTCCAGTTCTACTAGCATGAGACCATTTAATATGATAAGTTTAATTAATTATATTGCTGAAATTACTATGTAATGACTTAAATTTGTTAATCCCAGTGGTAGAAGTAGAGCATAATGGTTAAGATGGTTTCTGAAGCCAGATTGCTTGTTTTTTTTTTTTTCCCTTGGCTCCATCACTTACTAGCTCTCTGACTTTGGGAAAACTACTTGATCTCTCTGGGCCTTAATTTCCTTATAGGTAAAATGAGAGGTCAAAAAGAACCTACCTTATAGAAATGTTTGCAAGATTAAATAAGTTAGTGTATATAAAGTGCTTAGAATAGTAGTTGTATATGCCAGGACTATGTATTATTAGTTATTGCTACTTACTGCTGGATTAACAGTAGTAACAACAAGATTAATACTCTAAGTATTCTCATTATACCTTGGCATTTCCTGTGGTGTTACTTGGAGAGTTAACACTTTCCATTCACACTGGCAGTATTTTTGGTGTTTCTTTCCAAATAGTAGCTACCAGGTTTGAGTTTGGTAGCTATGCTTAAGTCTTCTTTACTTTCTCTTTCTCTTTTTCTCTTTTTTATGTCCACCTTATTTTCAATTATTCTAGCTCTACTACTGGACTCATTTCCAAAGTTTTACTAAAGGTTACATTGATTTTCAAAATTCTCACCATCAACTGGTAGATGCTCCTTCAGTGTCAGGATTTCTTTCTTCTTGAGATTAATTCCTGCATTTTTAATGAAAGTTTTTACCTTATCTGAAGATATCTTTGTCCCTTAGGGAAAAAAATGGGATAAATATGAGAAATATTTGTAACGATATAAAGAGTGTGTCACTCTAGCTTATGTCTAGACATCAGCACTATGAAGAGAATGAAGAACAATTAGGAATCCCTAAATCCTGATCCATGGAATTCTGTCATAACTTTTTATTTTTATTTATTTATTTTTTTGTGTGTGGTTAGGATTGAATCCAGGGCTTCCTACAAGCTAAGCACATACTTTACAATTGAGCTATACTCTCATTCTGGCTTTTAGAAAAAATTTTAAGAGAAAAAAGTGAGGAGTTCAGGATTTCTGATAAATCATGGCAAAGACCCAAATCAACCTTTATAAATATGTCTGCACAACAGAATTTTAAGCTTGAGATATAGAAAAAATAAAGAAAGTTTATGGATTTACTTCACCATAATACTCTAGAAAACTTTTTAATAAGTTAAATTTATTTTTAACTGATAGATTAAAAAATGAAAATTGTACATATTGAAAATGGGGTAATGTGATGTTTTCATACATATATACATCATGTAATGTTTAAATCAGGCTAAACGTATCTATTTCTGCAAACATTTATTATTTATTTATAATAAAAACATTCAAAATACTTTTTTCTAGCTTTTTGAAGTGTATAGTTTGATAGCATTTTTTGTAGTTACTCTTTTATACAATAATATATCAGAGTTTCTTACTCCATCTAGCTGCAATTTAGCACCAATAGACCAACTTTTCTCCATCCCATCTTCTACTCTCCCCAGCCTCTAGCCACTATCATCCACTCACAAGTTCTTGTGAGACCAGTGTTTTTAGATTAAACATATGAGGGAGATCATGTGGTACTTGTCTTTCTGTGCTTGATTTAGTTCGTTTAACATAAAGATCTATAGTTTCATACAAGTTGTTGCAAATGACAGGATTTCATTTTTTAATGGCTATTATTCCATTAGGTATATGTACCATATTAAATTTATTTTATCAGTAGTACATAATAATTATACATAATAGTGTGATTCATTGCGGCATATTTATAGATGGACATAACATAATCTGATCAATTTAATTTCCAAGTACCTTCTCTTCCCCTCTTCTCTTTACCCCTATCCCTTTCTGCTACCCTACTGGTTTCCCCTTCTATTTTAATGAGATTGCCCTGCTCTTTATTTATTTCTAACTTCCACATATGAGAGAAAATATACAACCCTTGACTTTTAAATCTGGCTTATTTCTCTTAACACAATGCTCTCCAGTTCAATCTATTTTCCTGCAAATGATATAATTTCATTCTTCTTTATGGATGAATAAAACTCCATTGTGTATATGTACCACATTTTCTTTGTCCACCAGTTGACAGATACTTAAATTGTTTTCATTTCTTAGCTCTTATGAATAGTAACCTGAGAAATATTTTAATCATTTATGTTTCTAGGTACTCTCTGAAAATTCAAGATCAATATGACAGGAAAGGAGCCTATTAATCTGAATGCTAAAAATTTTTTTCCTGGTGATTCTGATATACAACTTTATTTGGGACTCACAGGTTTGTTTTGCAGAACTGCAGTTTGAATTCAGGGACTTGCACATACAAGGCAAGTGCTCTACCAATGAGCTACACCCCCAGCCCTTTTTACATTTTGAGACAGGGTCTCATTAAGTGCCCAGTGGCATCAAACTTGTGACCCTACTGATAGCTGGTATTACAGGCTGAGAAACACTGTTTTTGAGTCTTCCTTAGTTAAGCCATTTCAGTGACTGCATGTGCCTAAAGCATATAAGGAAAAACAATGAATCAACAAATACTTGGGATAGCAAGATTAAAAAAACTGGAAAATTGTAAAGTAGGAAGAGGTATTTTTTATTTTTTAATTTTATTATTTTGGTACTGGGGGTTGAACCCAGGGACACTTTACCACTGAGCTACATCACTAGCCCTTTATTTATTTCACGACAGGGTTCAGCTAAATTGCTTAGGATCTTGTTAAGTTGCTGAGGCCAGCCTTAAAACTGCAATCCTCCTGCCTCAGTTTCCCAAGTCACTAGGATTATATAAACAAGCCACTATGCCCAGCTAGGAAGAGGTTTTGAAAACAACAGCACAGTTCAAGGACCTACGTTTTATCTGCTGAGGAAAGAACCATTGTGTTTCTCACTCACCTTCAAGATTCTCTAATTCTTTTATCAATCTGTTCTTATATACCCTTCCTTTGCCTGTAACACAGGGAAAAATAAAAGTCTCAGGCAATAATGCAGATATTAAAATAGTATATATATAATTTAAGAGGCATAGACTTTTAATTATTTTATTCTAGAAATTAATATTTCTCTCTTTTTTTCTTTCTTTCTGTTTTTTGCAGTCCTGGGGCTGACCCCATGACATTACACCTACTAGCACTCTACCACTGAGCCACATCTCCAACCCAGTGTTTTTCACTTTCAAGAATAAAACTCAGGAATGGAAACAGTTCTCAATTTGGTGAGATCATCTTGGTGATGAGGCTATGAAACATCCTTACATAAGGAGAATTAGTTATAAAAGTTCATATGTTCAACCTTCCTCAAAAGCTACTATTATATTTTTTAAATGCTCACCATCAGTTGGCAGATTTTTCAGTAGCTTCATGCTTTTATCTTCTGGGAATGTTATCCCCACATGTTTCAGATAATCTTCCAGATTACTAATGTCATTTTTTTCACCTTTAAAAAGTAAAAAATGGTAATAGTTGAAAATGTGGAGAGTGATTATTCTGTATTATGAAAAATGCTTTTGTGGCATCATTTGTTGATTAAACATTAATGAAATAAAATTGGCTATGACATAATCCTAGAGCTTTTTGGCTAAAACAGTGATGATCAAAGTTAAGCTATGAGTCATTAGATGAAACAGGCAAACTGAGTGAATGAATTAAAAAGAAAACACTGCTGTTAAGATGTCATTTTGTATAAACATTAGAATCTTGGTTTGATAGTCTTTTAAAATTTGTTTTTGTTGTTGTAGATGGACAGCATTTTTTTTTTTAATGTGGTGCTAAGGATTGAACCCAGAGCATCACAAATGCTAGGCAAGTGCTCTGCCACTGAGCTACAGCCCCAGCTCTGGTTTTATAGTCTTAATCACATGTCATGATACCACACAGGGCCTTTCTTTAGGGACTTTCTCTCTCTCTCTCTCTCTCTCTCTCTCTCTCTCTCTCTCTCTCTCATTCCTGGGGATTGAACCCAGGGACACTCTATTACTGAGCTATATCCCCTGCCCTTCTTTTTTTTTCTTAAATTTTGGGACAGGGTCTCACTAAGTTGCCCAGGTTAGTCTGATACTTGCAATACCCCTGCCTTGGCCTCCCAAGTTGTTGGGATTACAGGTGTGTACCACTGTGCCTGGCTACGGGCTTCTTTCTTAACTTGGTCTGTCTGTCTGTCTTACCTCTGGGATTTGTTGGGCCTGCTTTTCTTTCTTTCTTTCTTATTTTTTTTTTCTTTGTGGTACTGGGGATTGAACTCAGGGGAGCTCTACCACTGAGTTACATCCCCAGTTCTTCTAAATTTTAAAAATTTTGAGACAGAATCTCTTATCTTGAGATAGGGTTGCTTAAGGTCTTACTAAAATGCTGAAGCTGGCCTTGAACTTATGATCTTATTGCCTCAACCTCCTGAGTTGCTGGGATTACAGGTGTGCACCACTATGCCAAGCTTATTATTTATTTTTATTTTATCTTTTCTTCAGTGCTAGGGATTAAGCTTGGGGCCTTGTGCATGTTGGGCAAGTACTCCATTGCTGAGCTACACTCCCAGCCCAGCTGAGAGGACCAGTCCAGTCCCACTTGAACCCTGGCAGACATTTCTATTAAAGAAAATGAGGGTCACATGCTCCTAGCTGTCAACATGTGCCCAGATAGGCAAAACGAGAGGGAGTCTGAGATCCTGCTCTTCTGGGTATCCCCACCCTCCATCCCAAAGTAGCATCAGAGAGGAAAAACACAATAATTGCTGATACCACAATTTAGTTGTCCTGGGATTTTTCATCCTGTTTCTTGGAGAAGTATAATAATTTATCAGGTGTGTGTGTGTGTGTGTGTGTGTGTGTGTGTGTGTGTGTGTGTGTGTTGGCTGTAGCTAGTTGAAGTTGCTCTCACATGGTTTCTTGCTGAAGGAGTTAGGGCAGTATGTGAGTAGCACCAGGCATTTCTTACCAAATGAGTTTGGGAGGAAAGTGGTCCACGCCTGCTATATGTTATCTCTGTAGCCTTTCAGGCTATGTGCCCAGGGATGGGGCCAATGCAGAAGCCACAGTGGGCCCTACTTACCAAATGAGTCAGGGTGGAATGCCAGTTGTGCCAAGCATGCTTTCCAGAGCCCTCCAGGTTTCATGTGTGGGGGCAGGACAAATCCCAAGGCCACAGCATGTCCCTTTCCAAAACTAATTAAGGTAGAAGGCAGTTCCAGGCATATATTCCCCAGAATGTGCGCCTCAAGGCAGGGCAAATGCTGAAGCCACTGTGGGTTCCTAGATGCCTTGGGGGGTGAGGGGGGTGGTGGTGGAGGGGAGACAAGGGAACTTCTGAGTTCTGTGCTGGGGTGGGGACTGCAGGAACCATGGTGATCTGCCACTTCCCTACTCTCAATCCTGTGTCTTTAACTTGGACACCTCCATCCCCACATGTGAAACCACATGAATGTTCCTGCTCTGGTCTTAGAGGGCAGGCTGATCAGCTGATTCCAGAGGGTGATGTCCTTCACTGCTCTTTGCATTACACTAGGTGTTCCTTATCCACACAGAACTCTCAGCAGATTCTTGTCCCTCCCTTAAGCCAGGACAGTCTCTAGGGTGGCCTCCAATCCAGTCAATGTAGCAGAGTATCCACAGGGACCCAGACAGTTGAATATACCACAGTTTTTGATCCCCAGAGCAGTATAGTCTCAGACAATAGGATCCTTCTGAAGATGGTTCTTGGCTGCAGCATTCTGAGAGTCATTGGGAAATGCAATGAGATTCTTCTCTGTAACTAATCTGCTAGGGAGAATCCAGGTCTCTTATTTATTGAAGCTGTCTGCGGGGTTCAGATTTTTGCATCAAACTGTGATATTCTCTTTCACCTTTACCTCCTTGGAGGGAAGAGTTCTCCAGTGGTGGCATCAGGTACTAGGTACTAGGGCAATCTTGCTACGTTAGTATCCTTGGTCTCTAAATTTCATGACATTTCAGTCTGCTGTTGTGTTGAGTGCTAATCTTCCTCCACTCTCCTCCCTATGTAGTTACACATCAGCTACTTTGGTTCTGTCCCATGGAGAAGCAGATGAGTGCTGGGTACCCTGGTTCTGCCATTTTGCCCCTTTCCTGACTCACTTTTTAAGGATCTGCTCATGTGTTACACACTCTGTTAAACTATTTCCTAATCTGTCTTCCTCTATGCGGTGCTAAGAATAGAACCCAGTGCCTTACACTTGCCTCACTTCTCCTTTGGCTTTTAACATTTCATTGTATTTATTTATATGTGTTTTCCTCCAGCTATATAAGGCCTAACTACATAAGCCCCAACTACATAGAGCTCTTAGTAGTTTGTTTTTTTAGTTCTATACTTGGGATATGGAACTCAATAATGAGTTAGTAAAAATCTAACTCACCAGTAAAAAGATCCCTTTTGTCCATTACTGCATCCACATTAAAATTCCCCTTATCTATAAGAAAAGACAGAATTTATGGATAAAGATGATAAAAGAAGTGGAAAAAAGATAATAAAATCATATTGAAGTAAAACACAAAATTCAGCAAATTTTTATGATTTGTTCTAGAATTCTATCCTGTTTTCATTCCAAATGGCAAATGTGGAAAGACAAAGCTTTGACATTTCATATTTATAATGTCACTTTTTAATTCTAAAAAAGATAGTAAACTCTAAGTAGAATGCCAGGCTGACACTGGAAAAGTAGCCATCTCTACTTTCATATCTGGAAGAACTCTGTTTTATTGATTACAAAGCTGGAAAGCAACTCAAATAGAGCAAATGCTCCAATAGGAAAGATTTTACTTAGGGCAGACAGTGTGAGAGATGATCAGTGCCTCACAGGAAGATGTCTTATCCATTCTCATATATTTTAGTTAGCTTCACAGAAGACTTATTTTTTTAAAATATTTTTTTAGTTGTCAATGGACCTTTATTTTACTTATTTATATGTGGTGCTAAGAATAGAACCCAGTGCCTTACACATGCTGCTAGGCAACTGTTCCACCACGGAGCTACCACCCCAGCCCAAGAAGACTTATGAATAGCCTGGAATAGATCTCTAGTACTATTTCCTATTGGGTCATTGACTTTAAAAGTAGCAGTAATGGAGAGGGTTGATACTTCTATAACCAAAATCACTGTAGCATTTCAAGATACTTGGAAAATGGGATAAGAAAAATCATGTTCTTCTATAGGTAGATTTAAAAAAAAACTGGGAAATTATATATTTTCAACAATAAAGAAAAATATCCTATGGAAAATAGGATATAATTTACTTTCTTCTGAACATAGCAAAGGCATAACTAAGGGGCATTGTGCTGAGATGGATGCATAGTGGTTGTTATTATTAACTGCAGTGAAAGCTACTATGAAATGCTTATTTTATGGTAAAGCCTATGCTAAGATCTTAGAGAAGCTATGAAAGGTAGCTATTATTTTCTTTTTAGCCAAAGGGAAATAAGATCCAGAAGGGTTAATCTGACCAATCTTGTACTTCCATTTAGAATTGAAGTTTGGATTATCAAATTCTAGCTTCTTTCCACTGTGCCATGTAATCAATGAAATCAGTGGCATGAATCCAAAGTTGTTGCTATTTTTCCCAAGAGGTTTATTATTTGGGAAATTTTTCTTATTGGATACTTGTATCTGTTATGAGGCCATGCTCATATGTGCTAGATATGATTGAGGTTAAAAACAAATTACTTTGAGGATTGCTATTTTCATCTTAAACTTATTGTTTATGGTAGTTAAAAATTTAGATTAAAAAAATAAATAAAGAAAGAATTTAGGTAAGATTTTATTTTTTCTTTCTGTTAATAATGTTTCCCTCCTATTCTATTTGCTTAGTTTTAAGTCTTTCTATCAAATAGTACCACCATTAAAATATTTTTCCTTTTTTTTCTTTTGCTAATAAACTCATCACTTCTCTAAAGTTGATAAAGCTAATTCTGAAGTATGTGGACTACTAACTATCTAGTTAAAGGGAAAGAAGATGAACTACTACTACCACTACTACTGCTATTTTTTTCCTGACGCTACTAGGGATTGAACCCAGGGGTGCTTTACCACTGAGCTACTTCCCCAGCCCTTTCTATTTCTTATTTTGGGAAAGGGCTTTGCTGAGTTGCTGAGCAGCACCTTGAACTTGCAGTCCTCCTGTCTCAGCCCCCAAGTCACTGGTATTGCAGTCATGTACCACCATACCTAGTCCAATAAAATGAATTATTACATTTTCATGTATGTTTGTAACTCAGTGTGTTATGGATATATCAAACACAACCTGTCTAAAACTGAAACATTCTCTTGGTTTGTGACATGACTGATGTCTTACCAGTCAAGATAGGCCTATCTAATTTTTTCTACTTTTTTATAACACATATAATCAACCACTAAGTTAAATTAAGCTTGTTTATTAATTTTAATAAATGAATTCTAATTCTGAAGTATTTCTCAAATCAGACTCTTATCTATCATTAAGTTCACTTTCCTTTCCTAGGCTTTCATCATCTTTTATTGGATTATGGCAATACCTTCCAAATTTAAGCCTTGGTTTCTAATATTGCCAACTACATTGTCATCAGTTTGACTTTTCAAAAGAAAAATACTCTAGATGTGCCACTGCCTCAAGTAGAAAGGCTAAAATTGAAGGGAAAAATGGACAATTTGAGCACAATAATTGAAAACTGTAATAGCCCACTTTCAATTAATGCATAGAACAACTAAAGAGAAAATCAATAGGATAAAGAAGACTTGACCAGTATTATCACCCTTGGAATATTTGTCAGGATAGACCATAACTAAGCTACAAAACAAGTCTCATTCAGTTTGAATGCCTGAAGTAATAGAAAATATATTCTATGACTCAAAAGAAATTAATTAAAATTGAATAGCAGAAGGAAGTTTGGGAAATTGAAATATTTGTAAATTAAACAATGCATTTCTAAATAACCTATGCATTGAGAAGAAATCACATAGGAAAGTAGAAGGTATTTTGAATTGAATGAAATGAAAACACAATATATCAAAAATTTGGGGATGCCTCAGCAACTTTGTGAGGCCTGAAACAACTTAATGAGAACTTGTCTCAAAATTTAAAAAAAAGTAAAAAAAGGACTGGGGGTGTTCATCAGTGCTAAGTGCCCCCCGGGTTTAATCCCTGGTTAAAAAAACATCTAGAAAAAGAAGAGCAAACTAAACCAAAGGCAATCTGAAAGAAGGAAATAACATAGATTAGAGCTGATGGACATGGTGGTGTGTGCCTGTAGTCTCAGCTATTGGGGAGCCTGGGGAGGAAGGATCACTTGGGCCCAGCAGTTTGAGACCACCTTGGGAAACAAAGTGAGACTGTCTCACAAAAAGATTAGAGCTGAAATCAATAGGATAACAAAAAATTAGTTAGGAAAATCGATGTCCTTTGATTTTTAAATTAATTAATTTGTTACCTAATTAATTTTTGAAGTACTGGCATTGACCCAGGGCCTTAGCTCTTGCTGGGGAAGTGCTCTACCACTGAGCTACATTGCCAGCCCAGTTTTGGTTCTTTGAGAAGATCAACAATATGGACAAACTATATATATAAAAAAAGACACAGATGAGAGAGAACATCATCACTGACTACAGAAATTAAGAGGATTATAAAGGAATACAATGAACAACTTTATGCCAACACTTACACAATTTAGATGAAATGGAAAAATATTTTAGAAAGACACAAATTACTGAGCTCAGCTAAACTCCATAGTCTGGTTCAAGGTCCTCCCAATCTTAGCAACCTACCTTTTTAGGACTTTTTCCTGCTAGTTTATAACATGAAGCATATGTTCTAGAAACAGAAATACTTGCTGCTCTCCTAATATTCTGTGATTTTGCACACATTTATGCTTTTGTATGCATGAAACACTCTTTATTTTTAGAATCTCTGTATATCTCCTGACAAGCCTTTCTCTGATTCCAATCCTGCAAAACTTAACTTTTTCCTTATTCAGAATCTCGCTGACTATATATGTAGTGCTATACAAACACCACATAGTTCTTAATGCTGACCTGTTAGCATTTAAGACCATGACTATGAACTCCTAGAGGTCAGAGAACCTATCTTCTTATTTTTATATTCCTAAGAGCTTATGTTTACTAGCAGTCAATAAAATCTACTGCATGGATTGTTGAATTCTTTATTACTTCTGCACAACTCCAACTATACTCTCAGAAATTCTCATATGAACCTAGAGTTTCACAGAAGAAGCAACTCACCATCAATAGGCAGACTGTTCATCAGGTCTTCATATTCCTTTTCCTCAAGTTTAAAACCCATATATTTCATGAATGGTCTCAGCTTATTAGCATCAAGTTTCAATCCTTAGGAAAAAGAAATTTGGAAAAAAATTAAATAATAATGACAAATGAAAATGCTAGTTTTATGTCCATGTATTAATTAAAAGATGAACAATCAAAGGAACAATAAAGTTGTTTAAGTGATAAGAACTGTCATAGGAATCAAGAAAAGAACCTGTTTTCTCATTTTTTTTTGTCTAGAGGATCTGACTATAGCTCTCATAAGACATTTTTATAAAGAAAGAACTAAAGAGTTTGGCAAGTCTGGAGAATTCTGATGAGAAACAGCCTTTGTAATCTATTCAGAAAAAGGTTCACTCATACACTGCTGGTGGGACTGCAAATTAGTGCAACCAGTCTGGAAAGCAGTATGGAGATTCCTCAGAAAACTAGCAATGGAGCCATAATTTGACCCAGTTATCTCACTCCTCAGCATATACCCAAAGGACTTAAAATCAGCATATTATAGTGACATAGCCACATCAATGTTTATAGCAGCTCAGTTCACAATAGCTAAGCTATGGAACCAACCTAGGTGCCCTAAACAGATGAATAGATCAAGAAAATGTGGTACATATACACAATGGAATACTACTCAGCCATAAAGAAGAATGAAATTATGGCATTTGCTGGAAATGGATAGAACTGGAGATTATCATGCTAAGGGAAATAAGGCAATCCCCCAAATCAAAGGCTGAATGTTCTCTCTGATAGGTGGATACTAACACACAATAAGTATGTGTGTGTGAGAAGAATAGAAATTCATTGGATTAGTTAAAGGGGAATGAAGAGATGGGAAGGGAGATAGGAATAGGAAAGACAGAAGAATGAATTGACATAACTTTCCTATGTTCACATATGAATACACACCAGTGAAACCCTACATCATGTACAATCACAAGAATGGGATCCTAATTAGGATAAATTATACTCCATGTATGTATGTCTAAATACACTCTACTGTCATGTGTCCTTAAAAAGAACAAATAAAAAAATTCTATACTAAAAACAGATTTGAAATAAGTGATGGATTAGCTAACTCACAATATAGCAGGGAAGGGAAGAATAGAAATTCAGTAGATTAGATCAAGGAGAATGAAGGGAGGGATAGGAAAAGACAGTGGAATGAATCTTACATAATTTTCCTATGTACCTATATGAATACACCACAGTGAATCCCACCATCATGTACATCCACAAGAATGGGGTCCTAATTAGAATAAGAAACATTCCATACTTTTACAGATAGATCAAACTGGATTCTACAGTTATTATAAGTAAAAAGAACCAATAAAAGGGAAATGCAGTGATGAAGAATAAAAAATAATTTCTTCTAAGGTGATTATTTTAAACTAGTAAATAATGTGACAAAATCCTTTAAATAAATAAGTTAATTGACAAATTTTTCATTTCTAAAAATATGTGTGGTTTTTAAAAAGTAAATGCAAAACATAAGAAGTTTCGATTTGACCTGGTGTTTTACTTACCTGTAACAGACCTTATACCATCCAGCAACTTAAGCTGATACACCTTTCCAGCAGCTGTAAGATAAGTCACATTACAGTGATTGATAAGGAGACTCACTGAAAAAGCTTCTACACTTTTATTTTATTTATATATATATATTTTGTACCAGGGATTAAACTCAGGGAATCTTGACTACTGAGTCACATGCCCAGTCCTATTTTGTATTTTATTTAGAGACAGGGTCTCACTGAGTTGCTTAGTGCCTTGCCATTGCTGAGGCTGGCTTTGAACTCATGATACTCTTGTCTCAGCTTCCTGAGCTGCTGAAATTACAGGTGTGTGCCACTGCACCCAGTTAATTTTTCAATATATATATATATTTTAATTTTTTTGGTTTTACATGGACACAATACCTTTTATTTATTATTATTCTTTTTTATATGGTGCTGAAGATCGAACCCAGGGCTTCGCATATGGTAGGCGAGCACTCTGCCACTGAGCCACAACCCCAGCCCCTAATTTTTCAATATTTTTATCCCAAATAAGAATTAGAATGACCGAAAAAAATCTCTTAATATAGTAAATCTAGCCACTTTTTTGGACCATAGAAATAATTATTTGTTACCCTTTGCCATACTTTTCTCATATCTTTCTTTTCTTCTGATTTCTTCCTTCCTAACCACTCTGCCAAAGGTCAGGCACATAAGTTTTCTCAGGATAACATTAGATAAAGTTTGACTCACAAGTGAAGAGACTGCTGATTCCTGGGCTAAAAATCCTGATGACTGTGAAAGGAATTCTTTGAGTATTGGTACTAAGCCTTTCTAATCTAGTTTTCACATGGCAGTGAATAGATACTGTTTAAGATACTATCTTACATGGGTTCAATATACAGTACTCTCCCCCAAAAAAGAAAGAAAAATAAGATATAAAATATTGAAATAAAACAAAGAAAGGGCTGGGGCTATGGCTCAGTGGTAGAGCACTTGCCTGGTATGTGTGAGGCACTGGGTTCGATCCTCAGCACCACATAAAAATAAATAAATAAAATAAAGGTATCGTGTCCATCTACAACTAAAAAAAAAAAAAAAGAAACAAAGAAATATAATAGACCAGATATAGTATAGTGGAAACAACAGAGAAATTATTAGTGGGCTCTCTTATCAGATTGAGGAACTCTCTCAGAGGGCAGTAGAAAAAGATAAGAGGTAGAAAATGCAAAGTTACACGATATGAGACTAGAGGTAGGAATGCTCAACTCTGGGTAATAGGAGTTCCATCCAGTAGGAGAGAAAAATTAAAATAGCGAAGAGAAGACATTTGAGGAAATAATGGAAATAAAACTTCTAAGAGTAAAGAAAGATGAAAGACCCATATTAAAAATACTTTTTCAGAAAAATAATGATCAGATATCTTGATAAAGTTTACTGTTGATTTTTTAAAAAAGTACAAAGCAAAAAATAGAAAGTAATCTATAATAACCAAGACCCAGATGTAAGTCCTAAAGGAACATCAATATAATTGGGGCAGGGAAAAAGTAAGCCAACAAATGGAACAAGAAAGTGTGCTAAAATCCTTTTTTTTTTTTAAAGATAATGTATTTATTTTGTTTATTTTAATTTTTATATGGTGCTGAGACTCAAACCCAGTGCCTCACATGTGTGAGGTAAGCACTCTGCAACTGAGCCACAACCCCAGCACTAAAATCCTTGTCTTATTGGTACAGGTTAAGTTTAAGAAGTCAGTTGTTAAATGACCATAAATGGTAAGTCTTCAGGACAACTACTATAGCTCTCCAACCTGTAGAATAAAACTGAATGAATCAAGCAGGAACTATAGAGGCAGAAAGAATAAACTAAAGAAGAACACTATAAATGGAAACTATAAAATATGATAGCAGAATTATGTCCATTATTGCTGTAACTATGATGATTATGAAGGAATTTAACTCACCAATTCCAAAACAGAAACTCTCAGAATTGTAGTATAAAACAAAATCACACAATATATTGTATACAAGAGACATATATAGAGTCAAAAGATGCAGAATTGGTAAAAACAAAAGCATGGATATGAATCAAAAGTTGTAGGAATCCTATTACTTGACAAAGTTGAAATTAAGGCAAAGTACAGCATAATGGACAAAGAAGGATATTATCAGAGCAAAGATATTTTCATCACAAATATTTCTGCACCTAACAATATATAAAATGTTAACATACAAAGCAGCAATTGACCGCTGCAAGGAGAAACAGATTTATAAATATTTGTATTTGGAAATTTTAAATTTAGAAACTAATATACCCAGCAAACAAACAAAAAACACTGAAGACTTGAAAACAACTAATATTTAAACACACTAACGGAGAATGTACATTTTCTTTTGAGTATTCAAGGAATACTTCATAAAATAGACAAAATTTAAGTCATAAAAGTATGATAAAAATTCCCAGAGGATCAATATTATACAGAACAACTTTCTGAGTATAATGTAATAAATTTATGAATCAATAACAAAAGAGTTATTAGACATCAGGTATATTTTAAGAGGACAAGCTTGTCCACATCCCACCAAACCTTTGTCTCTTCACTCTGTCCTTCACGATGACACTGATCAGCTTATTGCTTTTTAGACTTTCAAGTGAGAATCAATCACTAGTGTTAGATGTTACATATGGACTTCCTTCTGTGAAAGATGAGGATTTTTTTCTTTTTACCCACCTTCCTTCCACACTTTTGCTCTCTTTTATCAAGCCATTATGTTATTTCACACATTTTTTTGTTAAGCTGATATTATTATGACTCTGTAAACAATATTACCAGGATACATAGTGGACATTTCCCATTTTGTAGTAATAGAAAATAATTATATTTCCTTTTCTAATTGAATTTTTGTCTTCCTTGAAGTTAACAATTACTTCATTTTTTTGACCTTGTTAAGTTTTCAGTGTACCTACATAGTCAATTAATCTCCAACTCTCAGAAAGAGTAAAACATCTTTTTAAAATATGTTAACAAATGTTGGATATTTTGTCAGTCTCTAATATCTCACCATTTTTTTTTTAAAGAGACTTCTAATCTGGGCCAATTACTCTCCAGTCCTGATGCATAGCTGCTGATCATTTCCTTTTGCCATTTTCCTGAAAATTCTCTTTATTCTTGTGTTAGAATTATTTTTTTAAAACTTTTTTTTAGTTATGGATGGACACAATACCATTATTTTATTTTAGTTTCATTTTATTTTTTATGTAGTTCCAGGGATGGAACCCAGTGCCTCATGTGTGCTAGGCAAGCGCTGTCTACCCCTGAGTCACAACCCAGCCCTTGTGTTAGAATTCTTGATGCTAAATCCATTATTTTCCTTTTTAAATATGTAATTCCTTCATTTTGGAAAATCACATACTATGGTAGTTTCTTTAAATTACCATACGGGGCCACTTATTCTTAGCCTAAGAACTTACTTTAGTGTTTTTTATAAGGTAGATTTACTAGCAATGAGCTCATTTTTTATATATCTAAGAATGTCTTTATTTCTCCTTCATTTTTCTTTTTATTATTTTTTATTGGTTAATAGTTATACATAACATCAGGATTTATTTTGACATAATTATAAATGCATAGAGTAAAATTTGCTCCAAATATGTCTCCAGTACTTGCCCTTGTCATCCCCTTCCTCACTCCCTCTGTTCCCTTCCTCTAATCTACCAATCTTCCTATTCATTTACAATTTTTATAAAATTAGTGTCTCATGGATATACGTAATGGTGAGATTCACTGTATTATATTCATCTATGTAGGATTGGAAAATTAGATCTGATTCATTTCACTGTTTTTCTCTTATCTTGTCCCTCCTCCCTACCCTTCCATCCCCTTCTACTCTCCTCTCCTGGTCTTTCTTTTATTTTGATAGAATTGTCCCTCCACACACTATTTCTTTCCTTCTTTCTTTCTTCCCCCACCCTCTCTTTCCCCTAATTTTAGACTAGCATATCAGATAAAATATTTGACCTTTGACTTTTTGAGTTTGGCTTATTTCACTTAGTATTATAGTCTCCAGTTCCATCTATTGTGTATTTTGTACCACATTTTCTTTATACATTCATCTGTGGAAAGTTCATTCCATAACTTAGCTACTGTGAATTCAGCTGCTATAAACATTCATGTGGCTGAATCACTGTAGAATGCCAATTTCAAGTCTTTGGGTATATAAAGAGGAGTGGGATAACTGGGTCAAGTGGTAGTTCCATTCAAAGTTTTCTGAAGAATCTCCATAGTTCTTTCCATAGTGGTTGCACCAATTTGCAATCCCACCAGCAATGTATGAGTGTACCCTTTTCCCCATGCCCTCACCAACATATATTGTTACTTGTATTCTCAATAATTGCCATTCTGACTGGAGTGAGATGGAATCTCAGTATAGATATTTTAAATTTTAAGTTTCATTTTTTATTTGTTCTTTTTAGATACACACGATAGCAGAGTGTGTTTTGACATATTACACAAACATGGAATATAACTTCCCATTCTTGTGGTTGTATATGATGTGGAGTTTCACTGTGTATTTATATATGAACATACATGTCTGATTAATTCTACCATCTTTCCTATTCCCACCCTCTCCCATCCTTCATTCCCCCTTGTCTGATCCAATGAATTTTGACTCACCACCCCCCACTGTGTGTTAGCATCCACATATTGGAGAGATCATTTGATCTTTGTTTTCTTGGCATTGGCTTATTTCACTTAACATGATATTCTCCAGTTCCATCCATTTACTGGCAAATGCCGTAATTTCATTCTTCTTTAAGTTTGAGTAATATTCCATTGTGGATATATTCTACAGTTTCTTTATTCATTCATTTTTAAAGGCTATGTAAGCCAGTTCCATAGCTTAGCTATTATGAATTGAGCTGCTATAAATTTGATGTGTCTATTTCACTATAGTATGCTGATTTTAAGTACTTTGGGTGTATGCCAAGGAATGTGATGACTAGGTCAAATGCTAATTTTTTGAGGAACCTCCTTACAGTTTTCCAGAGTGGTTGCACCAATTTTCAGTATCACCAACA